GCACTCGCGTACGCACCACCTAGCCACTGCCACACACGTCGCTCGTTTATTAACATCGCCTTTTCTCGTTCCCCTGTTGCTCGCTCTGCGCCTCGTTTAGAAACTCTCTCGCGGACCGAGCTCGAGAAAGTCGGCAATTCAGCTCGAATTTAGCCGTCACTCGGCATTGTTCGTGCAATTGCACCGAGGGCGATTGACACGGTGGAAAAGAGACGAGAGAGAGAGAGAGAGAGAGAGAGGCGAGAAGACCTGCGGTGGGTCCTCGTTGGACCGATTTTTACGATTTATCCATGGCTCTGCAGCAAAGGTGGTTGGCTCTCGTGCACCCTCGCCACAGGAAACGACGATACGCGAGCTATGAACGGCGATTATGGGGGAAGCGTGTCTTCCAGCTGAAAAGGGAAACCCCAATTTTTCTCGCTTCCAAGAGTACCTACCCGTTGCTAGGAGAAGGAAATTGCCCGTAACTAAAGCGACGCCTCTGGGTGTCTACCGACAGCCGGAACAGCACTCTTTCTCCCCGTCATCGTCGATTCTTTTCTCGTTCCTCACGCTTCTCCATTGTCCGCCGGTTTACCAGCCGCATACCGATCCGCGTTCTCGATTCGAAATACCGAAGGTCGGTGTCTGCGACCGACTCACGCTACCGGTCCCCCGTCTGGCCCACGCGATCCTCCATCCGCCATTGTCGTTCTCGAACGTGGAAAACGCGGAGAACGAGAGTCGTTTGCCGATGAACGGGCAACGAGCGGGCTACTTTCCCGGCGGACTGTACCCGAACACGCCGCGAAGACGCGGTCCGAGGGGCAGGGTGGATCGAGAAGCCGGTATCTCCCACAAAGGGTTGACAATAGCAAACAGTTTAATGTCCCGTACGTTTATTGTATCTCGGCTACCGTGGCTTTAACTCGGATCGGTAGCCGGAGAAAGGGTGAAAGGAGGGAGGGAGACGGAAGGCCGGGATGGAAAAGGAGATCGGAACACCGGGACAGATCTGTTATTCTGTTAGACTCTGCCCGTTCGCCGGTGACATTTGAATGCTCGCTCGATTTTACGTTGGCCAAGGGAACGGAGGAAGAAGAGTCGGCAGAGAAAACGAGAACTTCCATATCCCTCGCGTCGTCCTCTCTGTTCCACCGTCTGCAGGGCCCTCCTTGCTCGGCCTCTTCCTCTCTTCGTCCTCTTCGCCCTTTGGCTTCCTCCTCCGAATCCTCTCGCCGCTTTTCCACGAGGTCCGCGACGTTTTCGGACGATTCGCTCGAACGAAATCGAATCGAAACGCGGGGATAGAGAGAGAGGGATAAATGTATAGAGAGAGAGAGAGAGAGAGAGAGGGCGAGGTGGAGAGCGGAGAGAAAAACGGAAGGAACGGATAGACGATTGGCGGTAATTACGACGGTATCTCGGAGCAGAGAGGTTGGTTCGGGCTGGCAAAGTACGCGATTGCCTCGGTGGCGGGAGGACGACGAGTGTCGGGCGCGGAAAGAGCGAGGAAAGGGAGGAAAGAGAAATTCCTGCGAGAGAGGAGAATCCAGCGGTGATACGGTGCACGGCTGAAAAATTCCACGGAATCTCGGGAAAAGGCGAGTGGCCGTTGCCGCAATTGGTCATTGGGCGATTTTTGCCGGCATTCATGCGTCCGTTCTCGCTGTATTTATTGGAAAGGTTTCTCTCGTAGGATCCGCTATACACGGGGGTTAACTAAACGGCGCGGAGCCGTGCCTCTTTTCTCATTCGATATTCTCCTCTTTATTTATACGGTCGCATCCCGCGATTTATCTTCTCTCTTGTCTCGCCGCCTTCGTTTTTCCCTTTCTCGATCGCCGCGAGCGAGCGCGAGCGGGTAGGCGCGCGCGCTCGCGAGCGCTCTGCTCGTAATCGCGGGATCATCCGCAATTAGAGCGAACCCGATGAAACGCGGGGGTAACGACGCGGCATCCGGTTTGGCGAACGATTCGATTGAAAACAGCGGACCCGAGCACGGCCGGCCGATTTACGTACGCGAGAGTACACGGCGATCCCGCGCCACCGACAGACCGATCTATTGCGCACGAATCGGCGCATCCGACGCGATAAATCGCGAGCCGGCGAAACAAATCACTCGGCGAGACCGATCGATGGTATCTGGCCGCGTCGATCGGCCGTGTCCGCGACATAATTCCTGCAATGGCGGTGCGCGCGGTGCACCGTCGCAAATTACGCACTCGCATAAACCAACCGGCCGATTAATCACCGCGCGACTCGCCGCAGATTTGTCGTAGCCGCGATTCGGTCCGCGCGCTCCACTTCCGTCCAATGATCCGGCGCGGCTACACGCTCGCCGATTCCATTAAATCGACCACCCCGGCCGTCCATCCGCGCTTTTCATCCGCTCGAATCGCGCATCCGTCCATACCCGGAGTACCACGCGATCGCTTCTGGCAACGTTTTCACCGTACCTCGTAAGTTCCACGCGTCGTCCGTTTAAGGCGAACGCGTCGATTCGTCGCTCGGTTGCGTTTCATCGTGACCCGTGGACAAGAGTTACGCGTGTCCCGTTAAGCGACCGGTGTCGCAAAAAGGGCAAACCACGGCAGCCTCGCTCGTAGTACGTATAAATACCGCGCGATGAATCCTCGTCACCTTATATAATCGACGGGCAAACGGATTACGATTGACCGCGGAGGATGACGAACGACGCGTCGAGGAACGGAGCGACGAGATTCCACGAGTTCCTCCTCGTCCCCCGATCTCCGCTTCGAAAGCTCGATCTGTTCTCTCCGTGGTCGGGATGCTTCGCGAGTAAACGCGAAAATCGCGAGTGACGCAAGAGTACGGGAGGACGCGCGAGTCTCGCCGGACGAGAAGCGGACGAGGATGCCTACGCGCGGCGGTGGTTGCGAAGAAGGAGAAGAAGAAGCAGAGGGAAAGGAAGAAGACGGGGAAGAAGCAGAAGAAGAAGAAGAAGAAGAAGAAGAAGAAGACGACCACTCGCAATTAAACACGGCGTAAGTCTCGCTCCGAGGATAATGCCCCGGAATGCTGATAATTGGCTGAGCCGTCGGGGCGACCCGAGACGATGGGCGCTCCGTGCACCTGGCAGCACGGCACTGCAAGATCATCGGCTCGCGATCCCTCGTGTCTAATTGATTCCAAGTGATTTATATTACCTGCTGCTCCTCTCCGCCTCGAACATTCCCGGCCCTCCACGCCACGCTCTTTTACCTTTTCTCCGCCACGAACGTTTCGTTACGATCGCGCTCCATCCTCCGGGCCGGGCATCCACGCGTGGACGGTGCCGATAGATAACTTTGTCCCTTGCGACCGTTTCGCGATCTCCCGCGGAATCTGAATCGGGCCCGGCGCAGGGATCCGGAAGCGCGAGTAAAGGACTCTACGCGGTTCCGCCTCTTAAAAGGCATCCTCGCGGCGGACGCGCGCTCGCTCGCTCGCTTCTGGCAGAGAAGCGAAGAGAGGAGAAAAGGAGAAAAGGAGAAAAGGAGAAAAGGAGAGGAGGAGAGAGCGGGATCGCGATCGAGGGAACGGCGCTCTCTACAAGAGCGGGCGCATGAGGCAAAAGGAGGCAGGCAGCAGCGGAGGAGACGCGGAACACGGTGAGGGAATACAAGCTCGGAGGCAGGAGCGAGCCAGGGCCTTTCGCTCTCGAACCTCGATATCAGATCGCTCGTATAAAACTATCGTATCGTTTAAATACGCACTGAAAGGTGAGGCGATGCATCGGAAGATACGCGGGCGGTGGCAGGCTGCCTCTCGGGCTGCGTCTTCTCGTTCCGTCCATCCGTCCGTCCGCGTGTCGATCCGCGCCGAAGATACCCGGCTGGAATCCATGGGAACCACGGCGAACCGAGCTTAACGCGTATAACCCCTTCCCAGGCTCGCGCAGACCAGAGAGCCCAGCCACACCGCCACCGTCTCTCCCTTTTCTTTCCCTCCTGGCTACCCTGGCCAGTTCTCCGTCCGCTGGCCAGCCCCGCGCAGGACCGTGTTTCCTCCGATCTTTCCTCTCGCGTTTTCTTCCCCGATGTCCTCCGAGAGAGATTTCGAGGCTCGATCCGCTCCGCGGCCTGCGCGGCATTAGTATTCGCCACTGGTTTCCGCTTAAACGTTCGAAAAGGATAATTGCCTCGCGGCGCGGAAACGCTTCGAGCTCGGCTCCGATCCCATCGGCAGCGGCCGATTGCCCGCAGATACGCGCTCCCGATACTTTGACGCGCAGCGCCGATTCCGCTCCTATCTCGCGCAACGACCCGCGCGCACGCTCCCGCGCCTCCAAAGGAATCGGTAATTGGGCCCGCATTCCGCCTTCCGATTATAAGTTAATCCGCTAACGGGCCACGCGGAATCGCGAGATTCTATCGGCTCCGCGCAGACGTTTGCTCTCCCGATCGTAGAGCAACGTTAGACCAGAGCACGGGTACGAGAGAGAGAGAGAGAGAGAGGGGGGGGAGAGAGGGTTCTGGACACGCGGAAATAAAAAAGGGTACCGAAAGGATTTGCAAAACCCGGATGCTCGGACAGGTGAGAGACAATGGGTGACAGGGAGCCGTTGGACGGAGGCGGTGGTAATCTGCCGTTTTGAAAAGGGGTGGAACTCCGCGGCGTGCATTGTCCGCCTAATGATGGAGTGGAGACGTGACAGGTGAAACCGAATACACACGCCACCGAAATTCTCGCTCGCTTTCGCGCGGCTCCCAAGAGTCTCGACAACCGTCGTCCACTTCGGGACGTCGGGCCTGTCGCGACGGACCCCGTTGCTCCCCGAAATCCTTCCGCTTCGAGGGCGCGCGCTCCTTCTCTCCGTCCCGACGCGCTGCACGCTTTTCGGCAGGAACGTTAAACTTCTTTCCGCCCATTCAGCGGCTAGTCGATTAATCGACTTATCCTCCCTTCCTAATTACCTCGTTCGCCTTCGTAATTACTCGTAATCCGATTTCTTTCCTTCGGGTCGGCTTAATCCTCGGGATCGTAAAGGACGAGCGTCCGCTAATCGATGCTTGCAGATACCAGGGAGACGGGTTTCGTGAACGCCATCACCGCAGCGGGGGTAACCTACGCGGTGACCAGAGCCTGCACCATGGGCCACCTGGTCGAGTGTTCGTGCGACAAGATGACGTCGAAAGGTAAGATCCACGCGGTTTTATCAGAGGCAAGATGGCAGCGCGAATCACGCGAACTGTACAGGTCATCGGCTCGGGAAACTCACCCGGACCGTGGAATCGGCCAAGAGCTTGCCAACGGAGGGTGACTGGGAATGGGGTGGCTGCGGCGACAACGTGAAGTTCGGCTTCAAGAAGTCGCGGGACTTCATGGACGCTCCGTACCGGAAACGCAGCGATATCAAGACGCTGGTGAAGCTGCACAACAACAACGCCGGTCGTCTGGTAGGCAAGGCTAGCTCTCTCTCTCTCTCTCTCTCTCGCGACAGATTATTCGCAGAGATGCACTGTTTTTCCTTCGTCTGTGTGCCCGCAGGCCATCAGGGACTTTATGAGCACGGAGTGCAAGTGTCACGGCCTGTCGGGATCGTGCACCGTGCGAACCTGCTGGCGGAAAATGCCGCCGTTCCGCGACGTGGGGAACCGGCTGAAAGAGTCGTTCGACGGCGCGGCCAAGGTGATACCGAGCAACGACGGGCACAGCTTCATCACCGAGGGTCCGACCATCAAACCGCCGGACAGATTCGATCTGATTTACAGCGAGGACTCGCCGGACTTCTGCAAGCCGAACAGAAAAACGGGCTCGCTGGGCACGCAGGGACGCCGGTGCAACTCCACCAGTCAGGGAGTGGACGGATGCGAGCTTCTGTGCTGCGGCAGGGGCTACGACACCAGGGTCGTGAAGGAGAAGATCAGCTGCGAATGTAGGTTCCGCTGGTGCTGCGAGGTAACTTGCAACACCTGTCTGGATAAGAAAACGATCAACACGTGTCGTTAACGAGTCGGCCATGTCCGCGCGATTAGACCTCTAGACATTTGTAATATACGCGTTTCGCCATCCAACGGATCGGTCGCGATCGTTCGCCACCCGATCTCGTTCCAAGCTTTCCACGCGTACACACACACACACACACACACAGGTATCACCCTCGATTCGACTCGCCAGAGGCGAAACGATCGTCGCTTTTCTCGCTTGCGTCGACCGCGTCGACGCGCCGCCTTTCAATCTGTCCCATTCCCACCTTTTTTGCCCCCTTGCGCTTGCGTTCTCCGCGTTTTCTGTACATAAGACTGAATGGACGAAAGTTTATACCGTGCAGCGTAAAATGCGAATAAAAACGTGTATCCCCGATCGAATTCTCGTTCGTTACTCCCGATACGCTGCGCCGCAATCGCGTTGATCGCCGATTAATCCAGCGCCGCCGCGGATCTCCGTGGCGCGCATCCGAACGGAACCCGCGGGGCCCGCCGGGGCCTAGGGGGGCCCGGAGCTTTCCGCAAAGGTAAGTCGAGTGTCTCGCGAGTCGCATAAAATGGAGAAACAAAAGGAATCGCGGCGTAAAAAGTGGCGGAGCGCGTGGTCGAGTCGTGAATGCCGGACAACGAAGACGGAGAGGAAATCGGCGAAACGTTCGTATATTATCGAGTCGTGTAGAACACAGGCTTTTAGCTGTAATTCGACCTTGTACACGGGAGAGGTCGTGCAAGCAATAAACAACCGGTGTCTACATCTCCTATAAAATAGTTTTACGACCAGACTGGAGAGAGGAATTTCGCATAACCATAAAGTCGGGAAGGAGGCTCGCGCCGTATCGCGACACGCTCGCCACGTTTCGGCGATAGCGGAAGCCATAAACACTCCGTGAAGAGAAATCTTTTTTCCCCTTGACGCGCGCTTGTCCGTCGATGGTCCGTGCCTGTCCGTGGGACGTGAAAATTAACGCGCTTGCCATTGTACCGTCGTCGCTAGCATATTCGGTTCGATGGCTGTCGGACGCGCGAGATCCGCTTCGGGTTTGCCTCCGATCCGGCGAGCGCGCTGCCAGGACTAGACCGCCGCGCTCCGCGGCTCGTAAAATTTACACGTAGCCGCAAATTTCTGCGCGCGTCGACGGCGCGTCAAAGCGCGAGAGGAGGACGAAATGCGAAGAAAAAAGGGGAGAGCGTGTGGATGGACGCAAACGAGGCGAAGGATAAACGGGAGGGTGGCTAGGGGTAGCGCGGCGGTTCGAGGGTCCTCGAGGAAACTGGTTGGCAGGGGTTAAGTAAAAAATTTAGGATCGCGCTTACACCCTCCAATTTAATACGTGACGCGGCAGAGAGGAGCGGCGAGGTAGGTGTGTGCGCGCGCGCGAGAAGAGGCCGCGTAAAGGTCTCTTAATAGAGAGGTCGACCTCTGGAGGGTAGGAAGGTGGTGAGCTGCAATTAGCCCCACCAGCCCGGTTCGGCCGGGCCGTCTGGACTCGATTAGCCCATGGCCAGGAGATTGGTCTGCTTTGAGCCGGCTGGGTGGTCCAACCGGGGTAATTTTCGGCTGCCGTCGACGTTCCCCTTTGAGGGAAAAATGGCCCCCCGAAATTGGTCCCGGAGTTACCGCGCGCGTACCGCGTGCCGGAGACCCGGTCCACGGTTGCTCGCTTCGGGACGCGCCATTTTTGTTCCTCGCCGCGGAGCTCCGCAGTTCGGGCCCGGGGATCCTGCGCCGGTAATTCAATTTCGCTCGACATCCGCCGATCCGCGGCGGTTATTACGGCTTAATGAAAACATCGCCGTCGCGGAGGATACCTCTTTCCACCGGACGCGACGCTCGATTTACCCATTACCTCCACTTCTCGCGCGTTTCTCCGCGTTTCATCGCAGTACGAGGCCCGTTTGCGCGCTGGACGCACGCGCTAGCGCAACTCTCCCACGGGGAACGATCGTTCGGCACCGTTCCTGGAACGATTAGACGCGGAACAATGGGGTCCGCGGAACGCACGTGGGTCGTGACGCGCGACAAAACCGCAAAACGCGACCGTGATTAATCGCGCAGCTCGCCCTCTCGCAACGAGGGAGAGCCGAGCGTGCCGCGAGCCGGCAACGCGTCGTCGTTTCTCTCTGCCTTTCGTTCCTCTTCGCGACGAGACGAGGTCCTGGCAGTCTGCTCGGTCGCCTCGTTACCCTCGAACCGCGATAGGACGGGGCACCGTGACAAAACGCTTCGTCGAAACTCGGAACGGAGCGCAGTCGCGGTCGGGGTCAGGGCACGCGTTCGTCTAGCTTTTCTTACGTCCGGGGTACCGAAAACTGGCGACGGAATCGTTCGATTGGCGCGATATCCGAGTGGAAGCACGTCGGACAGAGCGGATCGAAGCGGCGAATGGAAGATGAAGGATCGTCGCGAGGGTTGAGGCGGGTTGATGCGGTCGGTAGAGAAGAAGCAGGTCCTCGTACGCGTTTGACGGTGCAAGTTGCAAGTGTACAGGGGCAAGACACGGAGGCGCCGGAGGTGGTCGGTCGTTCGAGCCGGCCGCGCTGGTCCGACGCCAATATTAATTAAACGATCCCATAAGCGCCTAACAAACTGGCTGTACGTTAGGCGGTTTATTGGGGTCCCCGAGCAGGACGTTAAAATGTTCCAATCTTAATTAGGTAGGTGTTTACAGGAGGATAATTCCACGGGCTTTAAGCCGGTGCACCGTTTACCGTTTCTACCGGACGCGGGCCACCGGCCGCGACGACTCTCTTCTTCCTCCTCTTCGAGATATTCCTTGAAAAGATATTTCTCGTCTACCTTGCGCGCCCTTTTCTCCGACCAGCTCGAAGGACGAAGGACCGTGCCACGAGGTAGGTGGAGGAGGTCGTTGAAATCTTTACGGTTCTTCCAGCTTCTTGGAATTTCTTCGACCTCCCCTCCGTTCGCTCCCCCTGCATCCCTCTCTGCCCCTCTCCCCGGCATACTGGTCTTGCGTAATTAGCCACGCGTTCTTTTTCCCTTTTTTTTCCCTCGAAAGGCGAACGCTAAGACGGGCAGAAGAGGCGAGTAATTTTCGCTCGGAATGCGCTCCGGATAAGCTTTCGTCGTCGTCGTCGTCCTCCTCCTCCTCCTCCTCCTTCTCTTTCTTCTGCGTCTCCTCCATCTCCTCCTGCTCCTCTTCTTTCTCGGGGTACGACGTTCGTTTAATTTCCCTGCTCGTATTGTTCGATTTTCAACGGACCTCGGAAGCGGCGCGATCGCGAGTTGCGCTCGAACGCTAATTCGAGTCGATCCGAGAGGCATTTAGAAGCGGTTAGCGCTCGGAGCGCGCAAGCGTTCTTCCGCGTTCCTCCGAGGAACGAGCTCCTTTCGCGTTTCCGCCCGATGCAGCGGCGATCCACCTATGGGTGCGCGTTGTCCCGCTCCTATTTCGAAGTTAAAACGCGCGCCGGGAAATCACGGGGCGCAGCGGCGAGCCGCGGGCGCTCTCTGTCCCCCTCGATGCTTATCGCGCGCGCGGCTGTAATTCGATCCGCTCGCAACGTTTAACCGAATCGCGGAAAATCGGTTAAACCGAGGCAGCGTTTCGGCGATAGCCGCGTAGAACGGCAGGTGGGGTAGAAATTACCGCCGCGTTGCGGCCGACTCGCAATTTACCTATGGCTCGCGCCGAGAGCGCGGCCGAGCGTAATTATCGGTCGCGTAATATCGGGGAATTTATTCGAGAGAATTTTTCACAGGAATTTCTCTTTATCGGCCTGCTCGCTCCGGCTGCGCGCACCCGTTTCCAACTCGCGAGGAACTCGCCGTGGCGGACACCGTACCCCGTCTTCCCGAGATAATCCTGCTTTTCTCTCGTGTCTCCTATAGAACTAGGGATCTACGGGGTGTCCCGTAGCGCGTCGGAGCTGCTTCGGGGATGATCATGATGGGAGATGAGACGAAAAATTAATTATAAATTTATGCGAATCGTTGCGCGCTATAATTCTCAGCGTTTCTGCAGACTAATGCGATATATGCAAGTGTTACATGCGTACTCATACAATGTATCGTTTCTTTAATAATATAAAATATGATTAACCACAGTTTACTTTCTTTTCTACGATTCTTCAGTGTTTAGGAGAAGCTCGGAGGAGGGGAGATGACAGTACAGGTATGAAAACGTAGATCTACTAGAATTTGAATTTTTCTCCATAATTTTATTTACTCTCTCGTATAGCGTTAATCTTCCCTTATTACGTCGAATTTGATTTATAGTTTTGCGATTTTTCTTGGTCGAGATATATGGTTTCAAAGCGACAGATGAAGAGAGAGTCCTGTATCGATCTTCACGAGTTATGAGACACCCTGTATATAAAGATATTCCGATCGTTCTACTAAATTCAACGTAACCAACATTGCGTCCCACCCTCGATGATAGCACAGGGATGAAAATGTACATCAACCAGAACACTAATTTTTCCCAATATTGTTATCGACCCTCTCTTATAGTGCTAACCTTCCCCCATAATATCGAATTTGGTTTATAGTTTCACGATTTTTCTTGGCCCAGAGATATCGTTTTAAAGTAACAGATGGAGATAGCGTCCTGTAGAGGTCTTTACAAGTTATGAGACACCCTGTATATGAAGATATTCCGATCTTTCTACTAAATTCACCGTAACCAACATTGCGTCCCACCCTCGATGATAGCACAGGGATGAAAGTTTACATCAACCAGAACACTAATTTTTCCCAATATTGTTATCGACCCTCTCTTATAGTGCTAACCTTCCCCCATGATATCGAATTTGGTTTATAGTTTCACGATTTTTCTTGGCCCAGAGATATCGTTTTAAAGTAACAGATGGAGATAGCGTCCTGTAGAGGTCTTTACAAGTTATGAGACACCCTGTATATAAAGATATTCCGATCGTTCTACTAAATTCACCGTAACGAACACTGCATCCCACCCTCGATGACAGCACAGTATGAAAACGTAGATCAAGTAGAACACTAATTTTTCCCAATATTTTTATCAACTGTCTCTTACAGTGCTAATC